CGAGGGCATGATGCACTACAATGCACTCAGATAGCTGCCTTTTTAGAGCAATTCTCTGAAATAATTTTGGACCTCCCAAGGCAGCCACATCTCTGGGTTACTGTCCTTAAAGACAAGGGGTTTTGAGCCTCTGCTCTGAAGTTCAGCATCACCAAATTCCACAGGCAGGATGGCACATTTCCCATCTCCTTAGTCTGACATGAAAAATACCTTGCTCAGTGTGTGTGACACAGCTAAACATGGGCTCTCTGGCAAAGCTGTTTGTCTTTTTCTCTCGAGACAGAACCTCGCAGCATCACCTTTGTTCTGCTCCCCCTCAAAAGCTCTTTTAATTTCCTAAAATCTGAAAGATGTAGGGCATGCATGTGAGAAGAAGCTGGGAAACAGAGAAACTCAGGCCTTTTAGATCTTCAACCAAAAATCTTTCCAAAGAGCAGCCTGGAACTATGTGCTGACATTGATGATGTGATCCTGGTGAAATACCAAAGAAGAAGCAGCAAACATGCTGTTCTCCTGCAGCTGAGGACCTTGGGACCAAGCTGAGAGCTGTTCTGCTGCTGAGCCAGCACAGCTCTTGTCAGTCAAAAGGAGTTGTAAGGCAGCAAGTGAGGTTTACTAAAAATACCACGGTTGCCACATCTGTAGTCCTAGAATAGCCATTTTTACTAATTATGAGAGGCACAGAAATATTCAGATAAACTTTGGACTGTATTGGGCAGTCAAATAAAAAGCTGATGGCACAATCATTGTGAATATGATCCATTACTTGGACTTTATGTCACCTGAACTTCTACTATCTGGACTTCAGTTATCAGAGTAAGTTCTACTTGAAGGAAGCTGGTTCTTGGAAATGAAAGTAATAGGGAGTAAAGTACATTAGTTCCTTTCTGTTATTTCATTGATATGACCCAGAATGTGTAAATTAGTACCATGACAACTGAAAGGTTGATTATAAAACAGAAACAAGATAGCTGTAGTCTGCCAGTTCTTATTTGGAGTTTTATTACTTTGAGCTTTATTTCATAATCATTAGCCATCAGATAAATACTGCACGTTTTAGTTGGATATGGTAAGATGGTGTGTGCAGATGCTAAATTGACAAAATTACAGGTTTTTTTTTTTAATGATTAAAATGGTTAATGTATTACTAGGATGGCATTATTTTGTTTTCTAGAGATTTGACTAGGGGACGATTTTAAAACTGGATGCTGAATTGCAGGTTCCTGGATTTGTAGTGTGGCCTTCATGTAAGTGGCTTTTATTTCATAATTTCTGGATTACTGCTTTCACCGCTCTGGTAGTTTCCACTGGTTTTTCTAGGAATGATGCTGTACTCCGTGCAGGTATCTGAGCCTTCTCATATACATTGAGCAGATTATTGGCCATTTCTGTGGGGGATCTGACTCACCCCACCCTCAGGTTTGGGGCCTTTAGGATGAGAAAGGGGAGCATAAGATGGGAACCTCCTGGGAATGAAAACTTGGACAAGAATTGCTCTTTGGAGGTTGTCTCTCTTTGCCACATACAGAGGCCCCAGGCCCCACTACTTTGGCATCTTTAGTGACTCTTTTTCTGTTTGGGATTGAATCCATTGTGTCTAGGGTTATTTCAATGAAATGAGAGGCACATAGCCACCCTTCACCCTAGTCTGAGTCCCCTTACTCTTCCACCTTGCCAGTCCATTCTCAGCTGTGGCCCTGTGAAAGCTCCTCTGCAATCTGTGATCTAGCCTGTCCATCTGGGGAGGAAAGAGGCATTCACTTTCAACTTCTTCACAGCTTTACAGGACAAATACCACCCTCAATTTTTCCTCTCTGAGGTGCAAAATATGTTTCCTCTTGCATGCAGGCAGTTTTGCAGCTGCTAAATGGCCTTGTTGTGGCATTTTTCCTTTCCTGTCACTGAGCATGCACTGAACATCAGGAAATCATTACAGAAAATTGAGAGACTGTGTGTGTGCGTATACACATACAGAATCCATAACCCAACTGATGCAGTAATGTGCAGGGTAAGTTAAAATACCTCCCACACAATATCTGGCTTGTGAAGCACGGCTCCAAATTGGCCATTACCAGAGTAATGACTTAATCAGTTGTTAACAATCATTGTACTCCCTACCAACCGATGAGCATATAACCTTACAAAGACTCCCTTGGTACCTCCTCTGTTGCTGTCATCAAAAGAACTGGCCTTATTTCAGGTGTTTTCTATGCACTGCTGCCAGGGTTCCTCTCTCTTGAGTTCCTAAGGCATCGCTTCCAGTGCAGGGAACTCTCTTGCTATCCCCAAAGGGAAGAAACTAAATGGAAACTTAGCAGCTGCCATTTACGTTAGAAGTCCAGCTTCCAACTAAAGTTGGTGCTTTGTTACCTTCTGGACTTAAAACCTTGGAGAGCAAGGCCTTGCTTTCCAGGAAATTCATTCTGTTCACACTGACGGCTTTGTCTCAGTTTCTGACAGTCCCTGCAGTGCTCAGAAAGAGCAGGGCTCCAAACACCCTGGGGTGGAGAGTGCCATGCTGCCCCAACCCCAGTGACATGACAGCCTTCCCAGACGTGCATGGACCTGATCTTGTTCCACCTCTTCCTTGATGGGAGATGTGGAACTCTCCTTTAGTCCTTGTCTTGATGGGTGAGGTCATCAGGAGCATACCAGTGATTTCTGACATTTGTCCTGCCACACTTAGTCTGGAGTCAAGGGGAATAACTTTGCAATCAGTAGAACTTTTCTAATGAGGGCTACTCTGAAATTACTCCAGTGAAAGGACATATCATCACATAGAAAAAGCACTGTGGGATCAGAAATCCCCAAGGCTCTGTGTCTTTTTTTTTTTTTACAAGGTAAAATGAGATTTAGCCCTGAAGGGTTCCCAGTGCCACTGTCAGGGGTCTGTTGCCAACAAAGAGGAGTTCTCAGACTCATAACCTGAGCACAGTCCATGTTGCTTTGCTTGGGCTACACAGGTTAATCATCAGTGACTAGCTGCAACACCTCAAAGCATTTGATATAGTTTTCTTCCCATCAGTTGTAACCGAGACAGAGAGAATTAACTTGGGGAATGCATTATCCAAATCATGTGCTCATAACTGGGTGGAGTTGGCATGCTAAGAGCATACCCAGCTGTGGGCTGCAGGAATGAGAAGGATTTGCTTGATTTTCCTGACACCATCTGCTTCCAGATCTTGTGGAGAAGTGCAGGGGCAGAAGCTTGGCAGAGAAAGCCAATAAGATAAAGACAGCACAGAGTGACAAACAATTTTTTCAAGGACAGCTATTTGGGACAACACACAAGGATGTGTTACCTAAAGCTCTCTGGTCTATATCAAATGTGACATCAGGTCCTTAGTCCTCTGGACTCTGAGTGGTTCTTTTGGTACTTAATTGCTTCAGAAATCTTCTCCCTCCACTCCCACCCATGAAAGGCCAGCGGGGATGCCTGAGAAGGGGTCTGGTTTCTCAGAGCAATCCATTTCAACCGCATGCAATGAAAATAAGAAGGCCATCCTATCCTCAGCAGTAGCACTGTGTCATAGGATGTGCCTCGTGCTTGCTCTGAGGTGACAAGGCCTTACCCAGCTAAGACATTCAGGTGAGGCAAACAGCCTAAGCATCCAGACTCAGAGCTACAAGGTCCCTCTGTATAAAACAGAAAGACAGGGAAGTTGTTCGAGGGAAACTGAACCTGTCCTGAGATTTGACTGGCCCACCAGGAGGGGGAGTGACAGAAATCCCTTGCCTCTCCCTCCCTCCTTCCCTTCCTCCCTCCTTCCCTCCCTCCCTTTATCCCTCTGTTCCTCCATTCACCCATCCCTCCATTCTTCTATCCTTCCATTTCTCCACCCATTCCCAGTTTGGCATCTCATTCAGTACCAATAGGTAGGTGAAAGGAATCTGACCCACATGTTTCCACCAGCCCAGGGAACAAATGAATGTGAAACACATCCAAGACCTCTTTGCTGCATTCCTCCCTCCTCTGCTCACTCCCAGCTTTGTCTTATTTAACACTTCTTAACAGCAAATGACTTTACATACTTATATCACGTAAGAACAGCCAGATTAGATATCTATTCTCCTCCTTTCCAAGTGTGGCAGATAGTTGGAGAAAGGTAAGAGCAGGGAAAATATATGACACTGCCACCTTATACAACCTCCACATGTTTTGAGTTCAATTATTTCCCACATCTGATGTGGATTTAGTAATTTTCACTGGATTAATGTCTAAGATCTGGCCCTCACCATGAATCCATGGAAACTTTTATGATCCACAATCTCTTGCAGCAAGTAGTTCTCCAAGTTCCCTACACCTTACATGAAGAGTCACATCTTTCTGAATATGGTGCCCAGTAGTTTTGATTGATAACTCCATTCTTTTATTGGAAGAGGTACTAAACATCCAGTCCTTTGTTACCTTCTACAAGATAGTTATGTTCCCACAGACCCTTGTGATATCTTCCCCCAGCTGTCCTTTCTTCCAGACTAATGAGATACAGCCTATCCTGTGCTCCCCAGACCCCACTAGCTCCAGGTATCTGTTCACCTGGGTTGCCCTCCAAACCCTTGCCTATTATACTATTTGTCTTCTGAGACAAGAAGACCAGGACCACAAGACCTGCACAATTTGGATAGTGGCATAGTGACGCTATCTAATAATTCCTGGTATCTGATTTGCTTTATTGACTGTTGCTGAACAGTGAGGTGACATTTTTGTAGAGCCCAAGACTGTGTTGTTTCTGCCTGTTCCCCCACCACCCCAAACCCCTCCATCTTGAGTAGTAATGGTCAGGGTAGAGCTAATAATTCTAACTTCAGAAACTAAAAATATTGTATATAGGAACGAGAGTGTCTGCCAGAGACCTCCACAGGGATGAGTCAGAAATCTCAAGAACAGTGGCCCACAACAACAGAACAAGACCTTTACAACAACGTTTGGATACAGAAAGATGGTAGCTACTGACCTGACACAGTCTGCTGAGCAGCTGGGCCAGGACCACACATAACAATTTAATCCAGCACCTCTTTTACTGAAAATGAATAACAAAACCTTAATAAATCAACAATTACTTATTGCTGTATTTGGGGTAATAAATTCTTTAGTTTATCAGTAGCTTGTGGCTTCCATAGCATGTTCTTTGAACAGTTTGCCTTTCAGTTACATCCCCTTTCTCTCCTGAACAATAAATTAGCATTCTTTTTTTTTAAAGGAAAAGAGGGGAAAAAGAGGATATATTACAATTTTTTCAAAGCAAAAGGAAAAATGCAACATATTTTTGACATATATCTTAAAATAATATGAGGATAACTTTCTCTGCGTGTTAGATGCCTATGCATAAATAATAAAGGACGTTATGTTATTTACAGTGTTACACAATAAACTAAGAGCATCTCATTTAACATATAATCCATAAAGACAGTAAATAATGAAAACATCCATGTATGTACAAGATGTATTTACAATAGAATAGAGAATTACAAATGATGGTAATTGGCCATGTTCTTTGTCTGCCCTTCTCTGCAGCATTTCGTAGGTGCTTTTTTTGTTTCTTACTAGCAGTAAGTCCCAGCTGATGGTAAGTAGCCACACTGCAGGGCCAAGAAGTGCTCAACAGGCTGAGAAGTGTGTCCTTTGAGGAGACACTAGTTTGCTATCCTGGATGCTCAGGAAACTGCTTGCAATGTGTGTGAGAGAAGCAGGGAGATGCAGCATTGTTGTTTTGGAGGACTGGAAAGAAGAAGCTTTCCTTTTCCCTGATAAAGGCAGTGATTAATCTCTTAAAACCTGGGGGTGTTGGGGTGGCTCAAGTGAGGAAGAGAATAACTGGGTCAAGAGGAGGAAGTAGGCTTTTCTCTGTTACATGAGAACCTCTGTGGAGCTGTAATGATTTACACCCCCTGAGCAGGTAGGCCGTACCCAAGTTGTGCACAATATACTCCAGCTATACACCCCTTAAAGAAGCCTTTTGTCCTGGAATAACTCCTGCATATAAACACATACACAGGGAAAACTCGTGGCCAAAATTAAATGACATGGAAATAAACCAGGACAATCTCAACTACTCTGCCACCACTGGAATATTTCCCCCCTCTTCAAAGAATGTTTCCTCTTGCCATGACTTTTCAGCCAAAAAGCTGGCAAGGATTACACAGTGATGGCTCAAGGGTGTTGGGACTGCCTAGCTCAGAGGTCTGGGTACTGAAGCAAATATCCCCAGCAGGGGAGCTGGCCTTTCCCGTAGGCACTTGCTGGCTCTGCTCCGTGCTGCTGCAGCCTCCAGCCCCTTGGCCAGCAGGAGATGGCTGCAGCCTGCCAGCAGCATCTGTGGCCAGGTAGACTCGCTAACGTCTGGGTGTGGACTTGACTGATGTGAAACACCCTCACAGAGTATAAACACAAGTTAAGAGGTGGGGGGCTGTGTCCTTCTCTCAGTTCTGTGAGTGCCAAGCTAGGGCAATTCCCCGTTAACTTGCTGCTGCATGAATTGTGCTGTAAGGCTGGGTTCTCCACGGGGACCTAAGGGCTTAGGCAGCCATATCCCCATTTGTATTTTCTTGTTCTTAGGTCCATGTGAAGTCTCCAGCCTAATTTCATGCTTACCCTATAACACACTGTGTTTGTCCCGGGAGGGAGGAAGAGTGGGAACTGCACACCGCTTTGACTTTGAGGCACTGCAGCAGAAGAGGTGTGACATTTTTCCCTAGACCTGCACCAAATAAATCTCACAGGCACAGCTCCCAATAGGGAATTGCTCCTTCATTTTGTACTGGCCCTCTATAATAACAGTGTTAGTAGTCAAATAATATACTCCACTTCAAGGCATGTTCCCTTTCCATCCTGATTAATCTGTCTGGGCTATTAACAGACACTTCAGTGAGAGCTGGCCTTGTGGGTGATCTATACTGGAGGAGTTTACAAAAGACTTGTGTTATAATCTCTATTCTGCCACTAAGATGGGAATTTTTTTGGGAAATTTCTTGTTTCTCTGCCATCCTTTTTCTGTCTCATCTGTCCTGCAAGGTCTTTGCAATATCAGAGGCCTTCCTGAAAGGACAGATTTTCAAATGCCTCTGGAAACTCAACAGTGCGAATCCTTTGGAAACTCGTGGCCTTCATCAGGAAAGCCCACTTGGCCCTCTGAACAACTGAGTTGCAGAATTACTGGGGAGGTGGATGTTCTGCTGCATGGGATTGCAGATAAATAGGCATGACTTAAGGGATGAAAATGAGAGTATGATGTCTAGAATTTGTAGGGGAGCTTTTGTTTCAGTCTGCAAAGGCAAAGTGTGTTCAAGTACATGCCAACTAGGGAAAAATGGCAAAGGGGACTTAAGTCCAGACTATGTGTTTGCCATCTCCCATAGACTTCTCAAATAATCAGGGCCATTTCAGCCACCATGTAGCCCAAAGCTGTGCTAGTTTCCTAGCATACCAACATCCTACAACTTTGTTATCTTCTTCTTCCTACACCAAGGGGTTGTTTTGTTCTTTTTCTGCTGAATCTGGTGTTCAGGTAGACTCACCCATGTTTTTATTAGTATGATACAGTTATTTATACAGTGAGCTGCTCACTGATTTTTGTCATCCTGGCAAAGAGCTTCTTTTACTATACTTTGCTTTCAGGTCTCAAATCAATAGGACATGCTTTGTTCACCAAAACTCTTAAGCACATGCTTAACTTTGTGCATGTGCTGGGTGTGTAAATGGGAGTCTAGCACATGCTCAAGGTAACTTCTGCTGGGATTAGCATAAGCATATGCTTGAACAATTTACTGAGTCGGGTCTTTAGTTCCTCAGGTTTGCATCTCACAAAATTTCTTTGACGTATTTCTCTTCATTTAACTGGGACCAGAATGTGGCCCAAAGGATGAGTGTAGTTTGGCTGAAATTCTTTTTTTCTTGACATGGCTCTTATTTTGAGCTCAGTAATACCTGTAAAACATATGTTCTCATTTTCAGAATCCCCAGAGTCTAGGAAAAGCATTTGTTTTCCACATCAGTCCTGAGTCAATGCTGTGCCAACTGAATACACAACAAAAAATCAAAAGAATAGAAGAGGCAGAGTGACCCTGACTAAACTGATAGGAATTCAGTGCAAAAGAGGCCATTTGCTTCTGTCTGGATGGATGCAACTGCTCCAGCACTGACAGCATCCTTGTTCATTACTGGTCAAAGACTTCAAGACTGTCACTGGCTATATAAACACTGATATCAGTCACACATGCGTTACTGTGGCTGTAACCCACATGGTGTGCTTGACTTCATAAGTGGCCTTTGCATCATCCTTGCCTCTCTCTACCCAAGTAATGGAGTAAAAAAAGGCAAGTAGAAATAATCTCCATACATCTGCTATGTCCTTCCTATGTGCCCATACTTTTTAACCATTCAGCAAATCAATTTCTTCCCTGAAAAGCATTTCTGTGTCCGAGAATAAGCCTTACTCCTACAGCAAATCTAACAATGTATTGCTAGAAGCTTGTCAGGGTTCTTTCTGAGAAGGAGAAAAAAAGGGAAGAAAAATTGAGGGGAAACAAAAGAATAAATTGTGTTTTAGAAAGCAACATTAAAAAATAGAGGTGAAAACTGATTGCACTTTTATTAGTGGCATTTGTTTTCCAGCTAGATCTCTTCCTTGCTTGGTTACAGATATCTGCTATTATATAAATTTTTTTAAAATTTTTTCCTTTTTTTTTTTTTTTTTTTTAATAGAGTATTGGGTTCAAAGCCTCAGTTAACTTAAACCCATTTCCTAAGGGATAACTAGAACAATTAATATCTGGAAAATAATGAAATGGCAGCTCCTAGTGATTACAAGCTGACCTCTGATTAATAATATATTTGGTTTAAAATCACAGTATTACTTTCTTTCTATAAGTAACATTATTTAATGCAGGTTGGTGCTTTTTTTTCATTTGTATGTTTTTTGTTATCCTGCTGTAATTAATAGTAGCATGCTGTTGGATCTACTATTATCCCAGTGCTCAAAGAAGCAAACCTTTTGGCTGGCAGAGAGCAGACAAAATTCATCTCATACACAGGAAGCAAATAAAAGTTCTCATAGAAGAAAAAATTTTTTTTTTTCCAGTTTTTTTATCTTTTTTTTTTCCCCTTTTCTTTTTTTTCTTTTTTTTTTTCTTTTTTTTTTTTTTCTGTCTGTGTGTGTGTATGTGTGTTCTTCTGGTACGGTAGAGTGGGAGTGCCATTACAGGGCTTTCTGATCTGGGGATTCTACAGCAAGCGACCAGAGGGACTTCTGCAATTCTTGCAAATCATACATCCAGTCATAATGCAGTGCACAAAAAAGCTAGGACAACTGAGGGCTAAAAGATTTTGCAAAATACTATGGGACAGCCATCATTGTAACTGTACAAAACTTGCTCTCAACTTAACATAACATAAAGGCACCATTGATATCTTTCCCCATTTTTGAAATACTGTAAAAAATTGCTACATATGGCACATAACACATTTGTACATACGTATATTTAATTTATAAAAGTTTTTTTTTTCCTCTCCTGTTTTCTATCAGCGGAATTGCTAAAATAAAATAAATCGTTTAATTTAAAGGTGGAATACTTCATTATATAAAATAAAGTTTTACATGTGAATCTATGTGTTTTATGTTTTATACAGCAATAGGGTCTTGGTTAGCTATCGCACTGGACAACCTTGCTTGCAAGTCTTCTGGCGTGGAGAAGCGGTTTGCCGGGTTAGTCCTGCTCTCAGCCAGCCGGAAGGCAGTGGCCGGCTCCAGACCGGTCGCCCCAGGGTTGGGTATGCTCAGGAACGGTGTATCCTCGCCTATTCTTTCATCTTCGGTTTCGGTCTCAGAGCTGCTGCTCTCAGAGCTCGTGTCGGAGTCCACTTCCACCCTGCTGGAAATGTGGCCATTGGGCTTTGTTCTTTTGACCCTCCGGCTGTTGGTGAGTTTCTTTGGAGGCTCCTGTGCTGGTTCGTACTCCTGCGTGGTCTCGTACTCCTCGTCCTCCACTATCCGCAGAGGACTCGGTGGCAGGCTGTTGCTCTCGTGGGTGGCATTGTGGTGAAAGGAGTTGAATTGCTGAAGGTGGTGGTCATACTTCTCGTGTAGCTGCAGTGGGGTCACCAGGAGCAGTGGTCGCTCCTCTTCTATGAAGGGACTCACTGCCACTGAGGGGATGGAGACGGTCAAGCTGGAAGCCGGTGGTGACATTGTGGAAGGGCGGGACTTGGGAGAAGTTGGAGTGTGAAAATCGACGGGTGACATGCGAGCTGGTGTGGTCATAGCTGAGACATACCTGAAGAAAAGAGATGGGGAAAGGTTGCAAGCACAGGAGCAGTGGTGACCTGTGAACACAGCAGCTCACGTGGACTGGGAGAGAAACAGCAGGGATCCCTTAAGGTCCCCAGCATCCTTACACAGGGCTACCAGAGAAACTTTCCTGTTGCTATTAATCCTATAAACTGCTGACTTCTGGGACGCCAGACAAAAACATTTAAGAGCAGGAGGAGCACAGCAAAGCCCCCAGATCTGTTTGCCTCACAAGAGCCATGGAGATGCTGTAAATTATTTGCCAGAATAACTTTCTGGAATTAATCCAGGAATGGGATTCAGAGACAGAGGGGCTGCCAGAAACAAAATGCATTTGCAAGTATTTTCTCAAAAGGGAAAAAGGCTTCTGCACTTCTGGAAGGATTTGACCAGAACTTGGGGTGCATGTGAACAGACAGGAGGAGAGAAAGGAAGGGAAACAAAGGGCAGTCCTCTTGGGGCTTCATCCTCTTCTGGCAACCAGATTGTCTCAGGCTAAGGAGGAAAGTAATGTTTGGATAAAATCTAGAGCCAGATTCTTCTACTTTTAATCGATGGGGGTAGTCAGAGAAGTATTTGCAGCACCACCCCAGCAGCTTTGTGCTGCTCCACTGCTTGTGTGCTAGTTACCTTGGTTGTCTGCAAAGAAACATGGAGTATCATTTGTCCTCTTATGGGAACAAACACTAAAAGATAGGATTGTCTGGCCTAGTCTTCATGATATCTCTGCAAAATTTGTCCCTGTTTCTGTGGGAAGGGTAGTGGTCAAAAGTGATTTCTGAAAATGAAGCTTAGGTGCCATTTCAGAGTCTGTCCCAAAGAAAGAGGACAAAAATTGTGAGACTTTCAACTGGTTTGGATCAGTAGAGATTCTCTGGGGTCATGTGTGTTCATGCCAGGTGAGGATCTGCCTGAAACCCCTTGATTGAACGCACAGTTCCCAGCATGAAACTTTGCATAGTTTGGTTTTGCTTTTATTCTTATTCTAAATTCACCTGCTTGAATTTAAGCTGTGTCCAAAATTAAAATCTTAAGCTCCATCTCTTACCCAGGCCTATTGAGAAAAGTTGTGTGTCTATGATTGATGTAGCTATTTAATTTTTCATCAGTGATTTATTTATCTGAGTCCGAAATTACCAAAATAAATCTGAATCCAGCTTTCTTATCCAAGTTATGACTCAATTGCACATATTACACTTGATTAAAACAGAGTTACTGTAAAAAAGAGAAAACGGGACAGATTCTGAACAGATGTGTAGTAGAGTAAATTAAATTCACTAGAGGAACATTGATTTACCTCAACTGAGGAACAGGAGAAAGAAAAACAAAACTGAAATTATGCATGGGAATTAATCAAGTTGGTTGGGCAAAGGACAATTAATAGGTCTGTGCATTGGAGGAATTAAGTCATTCTTTCTCCTTCCATGAGTGAGCTTTTCATCCCTTTCACATTTTTAAATAGGCATCGTCTGAAAAAAACGAAGCCTTTCTACTTCACCACCTGGTACAGTGTTGGATATACATCTTCATGACACACTGGATTTTAGCTAAACTGGTTCTGTTAACGCATTAGGTTAGTTAAATGTGTTCAACATACTGTGCACGCTTCCAGCAGCGTCAAGTTACTCCTACTGGAGTGTTTGTGCATTCACACATTTCTGGTGTGTTCCCCCCACACCGTAACAGGGCAGTGCTAACTAGCTGCTGTCTGCAATCTGAGGCACAGGAGCTGAAGCTGTGCAGCTCTAGCTACATCCTGAAAAGAAGGTTAAAAGGTGATTGATCTTCATGGTCAACTATGCTGGCTCAGTGAAAGGGGATCAGAGTGTATCCACGGCCATCCAACAAGCATTAACTAGTTGTGTGCTGCCAACTCCATCGTATAGTCCAGCCTTTTGTGTAGAGATAGTGTTTTTTGATCTTCTCTTCTGTAAGACAGCTAAGGACATCCAAGATAAAACTGCTTGGGTTCTCTGCTTTTCTAAACAGGTGACAGGGCATGAGATTCAACAAAGGGATAGGGCAATGCAAAAGAACCCCTCATAATGTCCATTCTATTTCATTTCAAAATTGTGAGGTATCTACCAATTCATACCATATTTGATGACTTCAGGAAGTAATTCGTCAGCTCTCACATTACTTTATGTTTCAGAGTAATTTTTAGTTGCAAGTAACTCTCATTCTCCTCCTTAAATACACACACATACATGCGATCCATCTAGGGAGCAATTGGCCATGTATTTCCTGCTTGCTAAAAATAGACCAGGCCTGCAATTAATGCCCAGGGAACTATCATCTCCTGCATTCCAAATTCTCGATCGCTTCAGGCACAGGTCAGGCTGTCAATGCCTGATGAATTATCCAGAAATGTTGCTGCTTTTCACTTGTAGCACAACCTTCAGGAGACACAATAATTGATGAAATGCCTTCTTTCTTCTCAGCAAAACAAAAAGGAATGTGCTGCTCCCCACGCTCCCTCCCCCCCCAGAAATTAAGCCTAAACAGTTCATATCAGAATGATGCTCTGGTTGTCCCAGGCAGTGCAAGGAGACAGCATGAAAGATCTTCACTTCTCACATGCAGATGCCCAAATATACTAAGCTGCAATACTCGGCACTGGCAGGCGTGTGCCCACACATCCTGTGCAGTTCCCAGGCTGCAAGACAATGTGGTATTTACTGCTACAGGTCCTGGTCCAGCAAAGCACTTAAGACATGCTGAGCTCTACCCGTGTGAGCAATCTCACTGATTTCAATGGGGCTACTTGCACGATTAAAAGTTAATCTTGCTGAAGTGCTCTGCTGGACTGGGGCCACGGCTGTTTGTGTCATGTGAGCCATCTATCTTGAAATTAAATTCCATGGTAAATAACGGATAAGTTATAAAGAGAGAGCTAGTTTACTACCCTTAGTGGCACTACACGCAGGGTCCTTGCTCAGTGGGCCCTCTTCCTGCTGCTAAGCAGTTTTTTGGATGACTGAAAATGGTTTTTGCTGCACTAGCACATTCATTTTTCCAGAAACCACAGTTTGTCTCCTGCACAACTCAGTCTCCTTGGGGATTGCCTGGCTGCATTTTTGACATCATGGACATCCCACAAGATCAAATTCCTTGTGATTTCGAAGTGCTCAGAGAATTGGTCCAGTAACCCTCTGTTTCCCTTTTCTTCTGCCTGTGATTCCTGGGAGCAAAACCCTCTTTAAATGTCTTGTCTCTTCTCAGTCTTTCTTTTGCTATTCTGAGGCCATCACATGCTCCTGAGGCAAAGTGCTAGCCTAAACCTAAGAGGAATTTTTTCAGTAGAAGTTTTCTTGCAACTCATGCACCTCGAGGCAGACCTCAGGAACTGATGAACCAGCCTTTTCAGAGAAAAAATTACTTTGTTGGAAAACTCTTGGCTAGATTTATCTCTAACTACTCCTGATTTAATAAAGACTTGGGTCCTTCTGGCTTGCACTTTGTGTTCCTCACTTTTGTTTTATAAAAGGTCAACGGGAATTTTTAAAGAAGATAAAAGGTTTAGGAGCTGGAATCCTCCAGAAAGGAGGTGGTGGCATAATTACTAATACTGCTTAGGAGTCCTCAGTGCCTTCCTCCTCTGGATCAATACACTGCTGTCTCCCTACAAAATCCCTCCATTTCCTCATTTGCATCTTCTAACAAAAGGATAATTAGGCAAAGATCTGGAAATTTCTGACTAGTTACTCCAATGGAGCTTTTCCAAGTGTGAACTGCTGGCTAATAGGAATAAACCCAGTAGAGGCAAGAAGGGAAGAAATGCTTCTAGTAGACTTTAAACTACTATTAGGCCCTCCACAAATGAGGACATGTGTGCTCTACACGAACAGCTGCACCGTTGGGTTTTCTCCTGCGCTCCCAAGCTTTGAAACCACCTGGGAACACCAGGCCTTCCCGGCTGAAAGCAAAGAGGTGGTGTGTCCTACCTTTCACTGTGAGGAGAGTCTCGGTAGGAGTCAGGGGTCTCTCTCGCATGCCGGAGGAAGCTGTTGCCTTCCCGTGGGCCACCGATGCCGTTGAGGCGGCCCCGGGGCCCTGCTGGGCTGGCGTGCCGGCTGTTCTCCATGGAGGAGCTGACGAGCACCGAGTGGCTTTCAGAGAGGATGCTTTCAGTGTGGCCGTTACTCCAGCTGGAGAGCAGCAACCAGGAAAAGAGAAAAGGAAAGCGTAAGATTGGGCTTTGCTGGCAGAGGCATATGAGCAGAAGTTTAGCCAGGGGATAGGAAGTGGCTCTGTTGCTGCTCAGGATGTACAGCCTTTGGGTTGGCAACAGGGGCGGCAGAGTTTTGTGAATTGTATGGATCCACACACATCAAGATGATTTTATGTGTATGGATAAAAGGAAGGAGGGCTTTCCAGTCATCACAGCTGTCACTGATTTAGCAATTTGCACATACTAAAAATTCAAAGTGACAGTGTTGGAATGCCATTCAGATGGCTCCTTGTAGATTCACGGGAAGATAATTAGTTAGGTGATATGACATCAAATATTGGTAGTCTTAAAATGAAAACACCATGGAGGGAACATAGATCCTCCCCAGTTTGTTTTTTCACACATCTTTCTGGTTTTGTAACAGCAATAAGTCATCTATTACACGTGCCATTTGCCTTCCCCCTCCAATACCTGTGGCTAGGTGTCTGGGTGACTGTCACGGAGTGGTGTGTTGTTGAGGTGTAGTGGCTCGTAGAAAATGAGGTCTCTGTTTCTCGCTCGATGACATGCTCACTGGAGATTACATTTTTCGAAACATACTGCTGAAAAAACCCAGACAAACCTCAGGTTTACAAACTGTAATTCACAGCACGTTTGTCGACACAATTTCTCCCCACATTGCAGTCTTTTACATGTGCCAAAGCACAAATTTTGTCACGTAAATACATGCAGAAACCATATTAACACACTTGAGCGCATTCATGTACACCTCTGCATACACACCCCATCTAGACTCAAATTAGGAGGAGATAAATGAAGAAAGTAGCAAAGTTTTGCATTCCAATCAAGCTATAAACAACATATGTATTTAACAAGACATCCTCACAGACAGAGACTTGGAAAGGCAACCCCCAACCATCAGGTACACCAAAAATACTATTCTCTGATGAAGAATTTGGCACTAGTTAGCGGCAGTAGTTTCTCCACCTGGGCGGAGAAAGCCAAGAGAAATCAGTCACCAGCCTGCAGCAGTTGGAGGTTTAAAACCTGCGGGGTGAGCTTTCCTGAGGCTCTGGCAGCCCAGGTTGAAACGTGGACAGTGAAACCTACATTCACCAGCTGGACGTTGTCCGGCGGTGGGTTGGGGTGGTGCGGCCCGTTGGCCATGTTCATCACGTTGTTCCTCTCCGAGCGCAGGCTCTGCCGGAGGCGGTCATGCAACTTCTTCCTCTGCTTCCTGCGCACGAAACACGGAAACGATTTTAGTAGACAGAAGGAAAGCAGCTGCACCTTTCAGCACGTCGATGTTGATGACAATAATGTAGCATCACTTTTTTTTTTTGCCAGAATTTCCCCGCGCTGCTGCAAGAGCCTGGGGCGATTCCGAAGGCCGCGGGTCTAATTGCAGCTGGAGCTGTGGGGAGCTGCAGAGGGGGAAGGAAGTTTGGGATCCCTTCCAGGAGTCAGCAGGCCACAGGGGGGATGGGAAAAAGTGTGAGGAAAATGGAAGCCATTTCTAAGCAATGCTCTGTCTCAGGAGAAGGCCTTTTCTCTCCTCAGAAGGGAAAGGGGACAGATTTTAACCCAGTGACCATGATGCTCTCACAAAGGCACAGGCAAGGTTTCTGAAGTCCATTGGGTTACACCACTCTGTTCACCACAGTGAGCCGAGGTGGCTGTGCCTCAGGCCTTGCTTGCAGACACTGGAAAACGATCTTTGTGAGGTGGCAGCTGCGTGTTTTTTGGGTGATATTCATCCCCTGTCTCAGCAGTGCACTTCAAATTCATAAGCGTGTTAAAGAAGTGAAGGGTGCAGAGGAAGCCTCAGAAATCCCAAGTGATCGACTATGTGAGGTATGCCTGAGCCTGCAGACTTCCTGGCAGCTTTGGAAGGTTTCATTTTAGCAACATCAGGTTCACTCTGGAACCTAATGATTAGCAGGTGGATGCCATGGCTGCTAATGCATTTAGTAGAACCACCTATGTACTAATGACATGGTCTCTGGCTGACTTTGGTGCTTCTACTTTGTCCCGTCCTCAGCTGCTCTTTCCCCACTTGCTATTAATATATAAGTCATACGAGGAGTGGCTGAGGGAGTTGGGGTTGTTTATTCTGGAGAAAAGAGAGACTCAGGGGTGACCTTATCACTCTCTACAACTACCTGAAAGGAGGTTTTAGCAACGTGGGGGTTGATCTCTTCTTCCAGGCAACTAGTGACAGGACAAAAGGAAATGGCCTCAAGCTGCACCAAGGGTTGTTCAGGTTGGACATCAGGAGAAATTTCTTCATGGAAAGGGTTGTTAAGTATTGAAATAGACTGCCCAGGGATGTGGTGGAGTCACCATCCCTGGAGGTATTCAAGAAACGATTGGATACGGCACTTAGTGCTATGGTCTAGCTGATGTGGTGGTGATCAGTCAAAGGTTGGAGTCCATGATGTCAGAGGTCTTTTCCAACTTAAGTGATTCTGTGATTCTGTAATCCTTCTGTCTCTCCTCAGAAGAACTTTTCAGGAGATCATTACAATTTGTCAGCAACAAAACTTACAGCACAGTAAAACCTGGCGCTGGGAAGGCTGTGCAGAACACACTAAACAGTACACCAAAATGAATACCTAGAGAAATAGCTATTCAATTTCAAACTTTATTTATCAATATTCCCCAGTTTTGTCTAATTATGCTGGAGAACTTCCACCATACTGCCACAGAATCTGTGGAAATGAAGGGAGGATGCAGGCTCCAACACACTGTGGAGTACGTGTGACCTTGGTGTGGCAAAAGCTAAAATACATACAATTCCCTAAACTGTAAGCAGAATGCAGACAGTGTTGGCAGGGTAGGACAATATAAGATATAATAATTTTCAATCCTGTTGTGAACTCAAGGGGACTATTCTAAGCTTTACAAAAAGCAGGGGTGAGGGAAAACAATAAATATGTTGAAGCTTGATAGCCAGGAGAGCTTAAAGAGAATGAAAACATTACTTGACACACAGAGCATTTTGTGTGTTTTCTCTGTGTGTATGTGCTTGGACAGTGGAAAATGGTTAATTTATATTGCACCACATGAATGGCATAAACTGAGATGGCTGCTTTGGAAATGCTCCTGTCTCAGAAGGATACAGTCCCTGATCCATATGGACTTTTTCCTTTAAGGATAACCAGGCATCATCTTAGGACACGTAAGTGGTTAAGGTGGATGGAGAGTGCAGCGCCAGGAGACATTTGAGCAGCTGCCCGAAGACCTGACTAGGCTGAAAAGTGACACTTGAGCAAGGGTTTAACTTGATTTCACAGCTCCCTGAGATCCTGAAGACCTTGGGAGCTGGGGACAACCTGAATTTTTTTGAGATGGTAGAGAAAGTAGGTTCTTGAAGGAGTTTATCATCTGCAGGACTGAGATCCTGGCACATATAGCCTGGGAATCTGTCCTTAGGAAACCGCGTTGCTTCCCAGGTGTTTGCATTTGCACGCTTCCATCTGTGCCGTTTGTCCTCTAGGAAAAGGACACTGACTAAAAAAAAAGAAATTACTCCACAAAGCTGAGAGGAAAGAATAATGCAAAAGCTAGTGTGTATTTCACTTATTTTAAGAAGCTTTTCCCTTAATGTAAATGACTTGAAAATAAAGCGCTGCTGAATTAAGACTCAGTGTCTGAAGATATTGCCTTAGCAATTGACCAGCAAGTATCTCTTGTGAAGAGACCAACAAAATCTGAGCCACTACATTTTATTTATACTGCTCTCCTAACACCATTCCCAGGATTCCTCCTGGTTTCTGGGTTTTCCCCTATTTGGAGAAAAGAGCATATGGAAATCACCTTACAGATAGCTGTCTGGCATCACTGCTGCATTTGGAGGGCCATGAACTGGCATGGTGCTCTCATCAGCTGCGTTGGAAAACATTTCACTTTTGGCTTGTGGTGACTGCTGATGTCTGTGGCAAACAAAGCATCCAGACCCTTGATGGGTTCTGGGGGCTCTTTATATAGAAAATTCTACTTCAAACATACTGTTTGTTGAAATTCATGGGGATGTCTTGGCTGATTTCAATGAACTCTGAATCAGGAAATATACTATTTAGCTGCTGAGCCTTGCCAGTTGTCATTTCTGAAAGCAGCAATTGATCTGATTATTTTATAACTGTTTCAGTTGTTCTTCACTGACCACTGGCACCACGTTATGGGTGGGAGCAGCTCTATGTGTGTGTGTGTTTGTGTGTGTGTGTGACTCTCACTGAGGGGGAAAAATGATCTCTCTCCTCCCCCACATTTAACGCATCCATTATTGGTGAGGCCTGTAACAAAAAACAACAACCCAACTGCCAATCAGACCCTGAAACAGTAAATCAGGTTTATAGAAATGTGGAATATTTATGATAAGGGTTTTCTGTATTTTGGTGGGGAGATTTATAAGAGCAGCCAGAAGTTCTGGCAGCAGAAATTCTGCTGATGTTCCGTGTAATTTATGGTCCAGGGTGCCTCATGCATGTTTGAGAGTCACCCCCAGTAATTTAGAGACTCAGAGAATGCATTTAAGTGCCTACTTTTGCATTGAGAGCACTTTTGTGTTCATTTTTTTGGCCTTTGGTGCATAGTAACTTTTAGCACCATTAATCTTGTCTCAAGTACAAACAAACTAGGCTGATATGTAAAATTTACTGCTGGGTAGCAACATGATTCCAGTGTTGGAGTTTGTTCCTTTTCAGTTGGGGAAACTGGTTCGAATGGGTGATAGGAAAAAAAAAAACCCAAACCAAAAAACCAAACCAAACCAAAAACCCCCAAACCCCTTAGAAACCTTTCAGATACCTGCCTTATTTTGACACTGCTGATGGACATGGAGACCTGCACTCATCTGGCTTGGGCCAGAGCACCCTGGCTATAAGTTTGTCTCTTCAGCTCAGCTCTGGAGAAACCCAGATAAAACCTTATGCTCAGAGGAATGGAAGCTACAGTCAACTGGGAAGGCCCTGACCAACAACCAAAGATATAAAATAGAAGAGAAAAGTTTACTTGGTTTTGCAGTAGGCCACCACACACATGATGCCAACTACTAGAAGAGCAATGCAAATGCCAGTTATGGTCAGCACCCGTTTCTGGTACAATTCCTCAGCTTCTAGAAAGGGACAAAAAAAGAGAAAGTCACAACATGGAGGGTGGCCAGGCAAGGAGCACATCATCAACAGCTGGCATGCTACAAACCACTCCACAAATTCACACAGCCACACAGACACGGCCACCACACTTCAGGCAGACTCATTATTAACTGCAAGGAAAACAGAGCTACACCACAAACTCTTAACACAATGGTGGAGATGAGTACAATTACAGTCAAAAGTCAGTTTGTTTTTTTTTTTGGTTGGTTGGTTGTTCTTTTGTTTTGGTTTTTTTGTTTGTTTGTATTTTTTGTTTCATTTTTGGTTTTTTTGTTGTTTAAGTCAACAAGAATAATATCTAAGCAACAACTTCACAATTGACAAACACTCAGCGATTGCTGGAAATAAAAATTCAATGTGCTAAGGTAATAACATGAATTTGCAAATGTTTTGGAAGTTTTACTTTGCAAAGACAGCTGGAATGAAAGCCAATTTTACAGGTCTTAAGAGAAACTTATTTTCTTATTATCTTTTTTGGATTGTTTTCATATCCAATGTCCCTCTGCTCCCATGTCAATTTGTATCTCAGCTGTCTTTACAGGAGAGATTTCAAAATATTCTTCTACATTTGAGACATGAGCTTGGCTTGTAATTATATCACCAATGGAAATGAAGATATGTTTTGAGCTCTGGTCATAAAATGCAGACTCTTCCTCCAGTGCTCTCCTAAAATGCAGCAATATCAACAACCAGCAGTGCCTTGTATGAGAGAAATGTTGAGCTTCTATTTGCATCTCTTTGTGATCAACAAAGGAACTCTCTATCTAGGGTGGCAGCTTGCTCAGTGATGACAACTTCTTACCGATCTCATTCATCGGAGATATTTCAGTATTACAAAGGTGTTAGTAGCACTGGTAATGTTTGGGTTGGAGCTACTGATGCTTTCCAGCCTTGCTCATGCTTGGCAGAGAGCACTGCTGAGTGCTCTGCTGGGGAAACGTTATGCGGGGAGTGCTGAAACAGAGGCGCATTCTGTGCTGACGCTTCACAGATGTGGATTTGCATTCCCACTTTTAGGACAAAAACGGATGTCTAGTTTTACTCAAGTCTTATTTTTGATTAAGCAGACAGTCTGATAATGACCTGCAACATTGACCACAGTTGGAGTACCAGCAGGTGATTAAAAATAAATGAATGAATTAGAGCTGCACAGCTTTGCACTGCCTTTGGGATAAGAGCCAGCGTTATTCCTGCTGGAAGGGGCTTACATGAACATATAAGGTCTGTGGAGCAATTCACCAGGAGGTACAGAGGTGTACAATGGTCCCTCACATGTGCCATGTGTCTCTGTCCAAATGATGTGCTGTCATAAATGACACACCAGTTCAGGGAAAAATACTCCTTACTGAAGAGGCATCAGCCTTCCCTTCAAAGTGTTTCCTGAGCTTGACAGGTTTAGTTTTAAAGTTGCTGTGAGCAAGGGGCAAATACTCCATGCAACAAACCGAAAAGCAAAAAGAAATCTTTAATTTCTCTGATACAATGCACGGCACCATGGAACAAATTTTTCCTACAAGCCAAACCCACTGCAAACCAAAACACCAGCAAACAGGTCACGAGCACTGTCAGACAAAATTAATAGCTCTAATTATTAACAAGGAGGGGAATGGGGGGGAGAAGAAGTGAGTTTGGTAAAACTAGAATGCTGCAAAAATGTATTAAAGAAAAAAATACTCCAAGAACAGAAAGTCAAAAAAGGGAAGGAAGAAAGGGCTGAAACTCCAACCAAACCAAACCAGGACAAAGAGAAAGAGAGGAAGGTGAAATAAAGGGAAAGACAAGATTAAAGGGTTGAAAAGTCAACTGCAGGCCTGGCACAACATGCTTGATACTGGAAAAAAA